GGAAAAGGGGGAAAAATCATGGGAAAGGGGGAAAAATGGGATCAAGTGGAGGGAAAAGGGGGAAAATGGGATAAAGTGGAGGGAAAAGGGGGAAACATTATGGGAAAGGGGGAAAAATGGGATCAAGTGGAGGGAAAAGCGGGAAAAATTATGGGAAAGGGGGAAAAATGGGATCAAGTGGAGGGAAAAGGGGGAAAAATCATGGGAAAGAGGGAAAAATGGGATCAAGTGGAGGGAAAGGGGGAAAAATGGGATCAAGTGGAGGGAAAAGGGGGAAAAATCATGGGAAAGGGGGAAAAATGGGATCAAGTGGAGGGAAAAGGGGGAAAAATTATGGGAAAGGGGGAAAAATGGGATCAAGTGGAGGGAAAGGGGGTACAATCATGGGAAAGGTGGGGAAAGGGGGAAAAATGGGATAAGGGGGGGAAGAACTGGGAAAAGGGGGGAAAATGGGAAAAAATAGGGGAAAAGTGGGAAAAAGTGGGTAAGATGTGGGGGAAGAGTGGAAAAAGGGGGGGAAAGGAGAAAGTGGAGAAAAAGTGGGAAGAAGTGGGAAAAATTGGAAAAAAATTGGGGAAAAGGAGGGGAAATTAAGAAAAAGTAGGAAAAAGGTGGGGGGAAAGGGGAAAAGTGGGGAAAAGGTGGAAAGAATTGGGAAAAAAAGTGTGAGAAAGTGGGAAAAATGGGAAAATTGGAGGGAAAATGGGAAAAAGAAAAAAAATTGGGGGAAAGTGGGAAGTAGTGGGAAAGAGAAGTGGGAAAAAAGTGGGAAAAAGGAAAAAAGTGGTGCAATAGTGGGAAGAACTGGGAAAAGTGGGAAAATTGGAGGGAAAATGGGAAGAAGAAGGAAAAAATGGGGAAAAGTGAGAAGAAGTGGGAAAGAATAGGGAAAAGTGGGAAAGAGTAGGGAAAAGAAGGAAATAATTGAGGCAAAACTGGGAAGAAGTAGGAAAAGTGGGAAAAACTGGAGGGAAAGTGGGAAAAAGAAGGAAAAATCTGCGGGAAAAGTGCGAAAATTGGAGGGAAAATGGGAAGAAAAAGGAAAAAGCTGGGGGAAAAGTGGGAAGAAGTGGGAAAATTGGAGGGAAAATGGGAATAAGAAGGAAAAAGCTGGGGGAAAAGTGGAAGAAGTGGGAAAATTGGAAGGAAAATGGGAATAAGAAGGAAAGAGCTGGAGGAAGAGTGGGAAGAAGGAGGAAAAAGGTGGGAAAACCCGAGGAAAAGCGGGAATCTGTGGCAGCACTCACCGGGTGCAGGCCGTTCCAGGGCAGGGCTCCCATCCTCTCCTTCCTCCTCATGCCGAAGGGGCCGCGGCTCATTCCCGGCATTCCCAGATCCCCCGGGAAATCGGGATAATCGCCGGGATAGTCGGGATAATCGCCGGGGTAATCGCCGGGGTAATCGGGGTAATCGCCGGGATAATCGCCGGGATAATCGCCGGGATAATCGGCGGGATAATCGGGATAATCGGGATATTCCAGGGCCCGGGAGAAGAGCGAGGGCAGCCCGCGGCGGCTCCCCGGGAACGGGAAGGGCTCGGCCCAGCGGGAGCCGCCCGGGAAGGGCTCCGGGAGGCGCCGGCCCCGCGCCGCGCCCCGGCGGGCACCGGCACCGGCACCGGCACCGGCACCGGCACCGGCACCGGCACCGGGAGCGGCCGGCCGGAACGGAGAGCCCCGGGAGTCAGCCCGCGACGGGAACGACGAGAAGGAGGAGAAGCGGAACGAGCTGGAAAAGAAATGAAATCGGGGTGAGGGATGGGATTCCGGATTTATATTGGGATTCCTGATTTATACTGGAAAATCGGGAATGAAATCGGGGTGAGGGATGGGATTCCCGATTTATATTGGAAAATCGGGAATGAAATCGGGGTTAGGGATGGGAATAGGGGGTGGAAAATCGGGATTAGGGATGGGATTCCTTTCTTATCTTAGAAAAATCGGGAATAAAATCAGGATTAGGGATGGGAATGGGGGCAGAAAAATCAGGATTAGGGAATGGGAATGGTGGGGGAAAATTGGGATTAGGGATGGGAACGGGATCAGAAAAATCAGGATTAGGGATGGGAATGAGGGGCAAGAAAATCAGGAATAAAATCAGAATTAGGGATGGGAATGGGGGCAGAAAAATCAGGATTAGGGATGGGAATGGGAATGGGAGCAGAAAAATCGGGATTAGGGATGGGATTCCTTTTTATCTTGGAAAAACAGGAATAAAAATTGGGATTTTTGGGACAAACCATAAAAGAAGCTATCCCAAATTCCGGAAATGAGTGAGAAAAATGGGATTTTGGGATCATTTGGATTTTTTGGGATCCGGTGCCCACCTCTGGTGCTGCCCCTTGGCCAGCAGCTCCTGGCACTGCCTGAGCTTGGCCACTTTAAAACCCTCTCCCATTCCCAAAATTGCCTGAAATTCCCAAAAATTCCCTAAAAACCCATGAACTTTCTCAGAAAAAACCTAACATTTGAGACTGAATCTTCCTGTCCCATCCCCCAAATTCCCTAAATTCCCAAAAATTATGTAAAAGCCTGGGAATTTTCCCAGAAAAACACTAAAATTTGAGACTCAATTTTCCTGTCCCATCCCCAAAATTCCCTAAATTCCTAGAAAAACCCTAAAATTTGAGATTCAACCTTCCCGAAACGCTGAAATCCCTGGGAAAACAATGGGAATTTTGGGCCAAAATGGCCAAAACAACCAAAAAATGACGCGGAATTCCAGAAATGAGTGGGAAAAAAGGGATTTTGGGATGGTTTGGGCTCCGGGCTGACCTGTGCTGCTGCCGGCGCTGCCCTCCTTGGCCAGCAGCTCCTGGCACCTCCTGGCATTGGCCATCTTTAAAACCCTCTCCCATTCCCAAAATTCCCTAAAATTCCCTGAAATCCCCTGAAGAACCTGGGAAATGCCCTGAAATTCCCTTAAAAACCTGGGAAATGCCCAAAAATTCCCTGAAAAACCTGAGAATTTTTCCAGAAGAAACCCAAAAATTTGAGGTTCAGCCTTCCTTAACAACTCCAGTTGTGGAAAACGACCGGAATTTTGAGCTAAGACCCCAAAACCACCCAAACCCCACGCCCAAATTCCGGAAATGAGTGGGAAACTGGGATTTTGGGATGGTTTGGGATCCAGGCTGACCTGTGCTGCTGCTCGGGGCCCTCACTGCCCTCCTTGGCCAGCAGGTCCAGGCGCTGGTTGATCTTGGCAATCAGCGAGTCGGGGCTGGAGCCCGGCGGCTCGGCCGGGCCCGAGGATCCGGCGGATCCCGAGCCGAAGGTGGATCCCGATCCCGAGGCAAAGGTGGATCCCGATCCCGAGGCAAAGGTGGAGCCCGATCCCGAGGCAAAGGTGGAGCCCGATCCTGAGCCAAAAGTGGATCCTGACCCTGAGCCAAAAGCGGTTCCTGATCCTGATGCAAAGGTGGATCCGGCAGATCCTGAGCCAAAGGCGGTCCCGGATCCCGATCCAAAAGCGGTTCCTGATCCTGATCCAAAGGTGGATCCTGCAGATCCCCCTCCGAAGGCGGTCCCGGATCCCGATCCGAAGGTGGATCCTGATCCAAAGGAGGTCCCAGATCCTGATCCAAAGGTAGATCCTGACCCAAAGGTGGATCCAGCAGATCCCGACCCGAAGGCAGCTCCAGATCCTGAGCCGAACGCCGATCCGGATCCGAAGGAGGTCCCGGATCCTGAGCCAAAGGCGGACCCAGCGGATCCCGATCCGAAGGTGGATCCCGCTCCGAAGGCGGCTCCGGATCCCGCTCCGAAGGCGGCTCCGGCCGATCCCTCGCTGGATCCCAGCCCCAGCTCGGCCGCCTTGGGGGCGTCCCAGGAGCCGTAGGAGGCTCCCGTGGGGGCCGAGCTCTGCCCGGGGTAGAACTCATAACCCTCGTAGCCTGGGGGGGAAAGGGTTAATTAGTTAATTAATTACAGGGTCATTAAGGGGGGAATCGAAGAGTTACAGGGGTGGGAGCCCAGCAGGAAAAGCTCCGGGAGGATTCCAAAGGAAATGCCAAGGGGATTTGGGGGGGTGTAGAACCGGTAACCCTCGTAGTCTGGCAAGGAAAGGCTTAATTAGTCAGATTAATTAATTAACTAGAAGGTCATTTAGAGAGTAATTAAAGAGTTCCAGGGGTGGGAGCCCAGCAGGAAAAATCCCGGGGTGATTCCAAGGAAAAAAATTCCAAGGCAGTTTGGGGGATGTAGAACTCATAACCCTCACAGCCTGGGGGAAAAGGGTTAATTAGCTCATTAATGAATTAGCTCATTAGTTAATTAATTAATTAGTAAGAAGGTCATTAAGGGGGGAATTGAAGAGTTACAGGGGTGGGAGCCCAGCAGTAAAAATCCCGGGGTCATTCCAAGGAAAAAAAATTCCAAGGGAGTTTGGGGGGTGTAGAATTGGTAACCCTCATAGACTGGAGGGAAAGGGTTAATCAGCTCATTAATTAATTAGTGACAAGGTCATTAAGGCAGGAATTGAAGAGTTACAGGGATGAGAGACCAGCAGGAAAAGCTCTGGGAAAATTCCAAGGAAAAAAAAAATTCCAAGGGAGATTGGGGGGTGTAGAACTCGTAACCCTCACAGCCTGGGGAGGAAAGGGTTAATTAGCTCATTAATTAATTAGGGGATCATTAAGAGAGTAATTGAAGAGTTCCAGGGGTGGGAATCCAGCAGGAAAAGCTCTGGGAGGATTCCAAAGGAATCCAAAGGGTTTTGGGTTTTGGGAATTTTGGCTCTTTGCAGCCTGGGGAGTAATTAATTATTTGGTTAATTAGGGAGAAATTAAAGGATTAATTAAAGAGTTACAGGGTGGGAGCACAGCAGGAAAAGCCATGAAGAATAAAGGGAGAGGGAAAAGGAGAGGAAAAGGGGAGAGGGAAGAGGAATAAAAAGAAGGAAAAGGAAAGAAAAATGGGAAAAAGAGAGGAAAAAATTGAGAAAAGAGAGGGGGAAAAGGGAAAAAAATGGGAAAAGGGAGGAAAAGGATGGAAAAATGGGGGGGAGGGAAAAAAGGAAAGAAAAGGTGGAAAAAGGGAAGAAAAATGGGAAAAAGAGAAGGAAAATGAAAGGAAGGAGAGGAAAAAGAAAAATTTGGGAAAGGGCGGGAAAATTTGGGAAAAAGGAAGAAAAAAGTTGGAAAAAATGGGGGGAAAGAAAACGGGAAAAAAGGAGAAAAATGGGGAAAAAGAAGGAAGGAGGAAAAGGGAGGAAAAAATTGGAAAAAAGGAGGGGAAAAGTTGGAAAAACTGGGGGGGAAGAGAAATGGGAATAAAGGAGAAAAATGGGGGAAAAAGAAGGAAAATGCGAGGAAGGAAGGAAAAAGGAAAAATTTGGAAAAGAGGGAAAAAGGAGGGAAAAATGAGAGGAAGAAGAAAAAAAGTTGGAAAAAGTTGGGGGAAAAAGAAGAAAAGGGGGAAAAAGCAGGAAAAGAGGGAATTGGGAATTCCAAAATTCTCACCCACCTTGCCAGCTGCTCGTGTTTGTGCCATAGGAAGCTGGAAAAAAAAAAGGAAAATTCAGGAATTTTTCATGGAAAAATGCTGAAGTTTGGGCTGAAATGTTTGGGGTTTCTGGGAAAAGGAGAGGATTTGGGGATAAAACAGGAGGGATTTGGGATTTGGATGGAATTCTGGAGGTTTTTCCAGGAAAAAGCAGGAAAAGGGGTTTGGGGGGGATGCAGAGATTTTGGGAGTTGGGGATGGGAAGGGTGGGAAAAGGGGGGGGAAGGGAAAAACAGGGGAAAGGGTGGGAAAATGGGGAAAAATAGGGGGAAAAAGGTGGAAAAAATGGGGAAAATGGGGGGGAAATGGAAAAATAGAGGTGAAGAGGTTAGGAAATGGGGAAATGGGGAAAAAAGGAGGAAAAAGGGAAAAAAGCAGGAATATGGGATAAAGGGGGGAAAGTGGGAGAAATATGGGAGAATAATAGGAGAAAAAAGAATGAAAATGGGGAAAATGGGAGAAAAATGGGGAAAAAAGAAGAAAACTGGGGGGGGAAGGGAGGAAAATGGAAGAAATAAGAGAAAAATTGGGGAAGTGGGAGAAAAATGGGGGGAATGGAGAAAAAATGAAAAAATTGAGGAAATGAGAGAAAAATGGGGGTGAAAACAGGAGAAAAAAGGAACAAAATGGGAGAAAAATGGGGGAGGGGAAAGGTGAGAAAAAAGGGGGAAATGGGAGAAAAATTGGAGAAAAGGGGGAGAAAGATGAGGGGGAAAAAAGGAAAAATGGGAGGGGGGGAAATGAGAAATTGATGCAAAGTTGGGAACAGCTCACCCTGGGCGCTGGCGGCCCCGGTGCTCCAGGTGCCATATCCTGGGAAAAAGGAGAATTTGTCAGCAGGGAAGGGAAAATTCCCACTTTTCCTGAGCAAAATCCCAAATTCCAGGCCCAATCCTAAATGCCAGCCCCAAAACCCAGCCCTGATCCCAAAATCCAGCCCAAATCCTAAATTCCAGCCCCAAAACCCAGCCCTGATCCCAAAATCCAGCCCAAATTCTAGCCCTGATCCCAAAATCCAGCCCAAATCCTAAATTCCAGCCCTAATCCCAAACCCCAGCCCCAAAATCCAAAGTAAGCCTGGAAAAGAAGCCAAGCCTGGGCCTGATCCCTGTTTCCAGGCTGAGGTATCCGGGGGAAATTCCAGGGGGGATCATGAGGGGATCCAGGGGGATCCTGAGGGGGGATCCAAGGAAACTCCAGGGGGAATCCAGGGCAATTTCCAGGGGGGATTCTGAGAGAATCCAGGGAATTTCCAGGGGGGATTCTGAGAGAATCCAGGGAATTTCCAGGGGGGATTCTGAGAGAATCCAGGGAATTTCCAGGGGGGATTCTGAGAGAATCCAGGGAATTTCCAGGGGGGATTCTGAGAGAATCCAGGGAATTTCCAGGGCAGATCCTGAGGGAATCCAGGGAAGTTTCCAGAGGGAATCCTGAGGGGATCTAAGGGAATTTCCAAGGGAGATCATGAGGGGGGATCCAAGGAAATTCCAGGGCGAATCCTGAGAGGATCCTGAGGAATTTCCAGGGGAATTTCCAGAGGGATCCAGGGGAATTCCCAGGGAGATCCTGGGGGTGATCCAATGGAACTTCCAGGGAGATCCTGAGGGGGAATGCAAGGAAATTCCAGGGGGAATCCTGAGGGAGATCCAAGGCGGGGACTCCAGGGGATCCCCCTGAGGAGAAGACAGGGAACCCCTCAGGAGGGGGAGACGGGAACCCCTCAGGAGGGCACAGGGGACCCCCAAGGAGGGGGACACGGGACCCCCAAGGAAGGGGACATGGATCCCCCGGGTGCCGCCACAGTTGGGACGGGCCAGGACGAGGGAAACTGAGGCAGAGGCGGCGGGGGCGGGGCCGCGGCCGCCATTTTGTGTCGCCTTCAGAAATGGGCCCGGCGCCATTTCCGCCCCCCCCCGTCCCCCTCAGGGCATGACCCCCCCACCAGCCCCCAGCAGCCAATCAGCGCCGCCCTGGCGGTGAGTGACGTGGCGCTCAGCCAATCAGCGCCGCCGCCGCCTCACCGGGGGGGGACCGGGCAGTGCGCTTCCCGCTGTGGCGGAGCCCCCTCCGCCAGAACTCGCCGGTAACGGAGCCGGTGCTGAGGCAGCCACGGGAAGAGCCAGCACCACCCCGGGGGAGCGGCAGCACCGCGGGGCCGCCCCGCCCGGCACTTACCGCCGTATCCCGGCTCCATCGCCGCCGCCGCCGCCGCTTCACCGCCCGCCTCAGCCGCCTGCGCACGCGCGCCACCGCCCGCCTCTTGTTTGGCCCCGCCCACGCCACTCCTTATTGGTTGGTCTCTTCAACTGCGCGGCCCGCCCGCAGCTCCCATTGGTCCGAAGGGTTCCCGCCCATGATCTGATTGGTGGAGGCGCTTCCTCCCTGAGGGCACGGCCTGTCAATCACGAGCGTTCTGGCTGCTGATTGGGCGGCGCCGCGGGGCGCGCCGTTTGCCGGCGGGGAGGGGGAGGAGGGGCCGCCATGGAGTCCCCGGGGCCGGGAGCGGAGCGGCCCCGAACCGAGCCCGGAACGGGCCCGGACACGGCCCGGAGCTGCCTGGAAATGGCCCCGGCGCGGCCCCTCCCAGTGACAATGTCCCCAGGGCCTCACAGTGAGTGTCCCCGGCCCCTCAGTGACAGCGTCCCCACATCCCCTCACAGGGCCCCCAGATCCCCTCACAATGTCCTGAAATTCCATCAAAATGTCTCCAAATCTCCTCAGGGACCCCAAAATCACCTCACAATGTCCTGAAATTCCATCAAAATGTCTCCAAACCCCCTCAGGGGTCCCCACATCCCCTCACAGGGCCCCCAGATCCCCTCACAATGTCCTGAAATTCCATCAAAATGTTCCCAAATCCCCTCAGGGGTCCCCACATCCCCTCACAGGGTCCCCAGATCCCGTCACAATGTCCTGAAATTCCATCAAAATGTCCCCAAATCCCCTCAGGGACCCCAAATCACATCACAGGGACCCCAGATCCCTTCACAATGTCCTGAAATTCCATCAAAATGTCTCCAAACCCCCTCAGGGACCCCAAAATCACCTCAGGGACCCCAGATCCCCTCAAAACGTGCCCAGATTTTCTCATGGTGCTCCCAGATCCCCTCACAGGGACCAAAACTCCCCTCAAAATGTCCCCAAATCCTCTCAGGGTCCCCAGATCGCCTCAGGGACCCCAAATCCCCTCACAGGGACCCCAAATTCCATCAAAATATCCCCAAATCCCCTCCAAATGTCCCCAGATCCCCTCAGGGACCCCAAAATCACCTCAGTGTCCCCAGATCTCCTTAAAATGTCCCCAAATCCCCTCACAGGGTCCCCAAATCCCCTCAGGGACCCCAAATCCACTCAAAATGTCCCCAGAGCCCCTCACAATGACCTCAAATTCCATCAAAGTGTCCCCAAATCTCCTCAAGGACCCCAATTTCTCCTCACAGACCCCAAATCCCCTCAAAATGTCCCCAAATCCCCTCACAATATCCTCAAATTCCATGAAAATGTCCCCAGATTCCCTCAGGGACCCCAAATCCTCTCAGTGTCCCCAGATTCCCTCAAGATATCCCTGAATTCCATCAAAATATCCCCAAATTCCATCAAAATGTCCCCAAATCTCCTCAGGGACCCCAATCCCCTCAGGGACCCCAAATCCACTCAAAATGTCCCCAAATCCCTTTTCCCACCCTTTTCCCTCCTTTCCCCCTTCATTTTCCATCTCTTTTCCCATTTTCCCCATCTTTTTCCTGCCCCTTTCCCATCATTTCTTCCCCATCCCCTTTTCCACCCCTTTCCCAATCCTGGCAGGAATTTTTCCCATCCCAGAAGGAAATTCCCCATTCCTGAAGGATTTTTTCCCCATTCCTGAAGGATTTTTCCCATTCCAGAAATAATTTCCCCATTCCTGAAGGAATTTTTCCCATTCCTGGTGGGAATTCTCCCAATCCTGGCAGGAATTTCCCCATTCCTGAAGGATTTTCTGCTATTCCTGAAGGAAGTTTTCTAATCCTAAAAGGTATTTCCCATTACTGAAGGATTTTTTCCCATTCCTGAAGGAATTTTCCCAATCCTGAAGGATTTTTTCCCACCCCAGCCCCACCTGGGCCTCCCAACCCCCAATTCCCACCCCCAGGACCATTCCCAGATCCCAAATCCCAACTTTTCCCTTTTTGGGCAGGAAAATCCCAATCAGCACCGGCAATCTCCCAAAAAAACCCCGGGAATTTGGGAATTTCCTGAGAACAAAAGAGTCGGGAGAAGCTCGGGATGAGTCCTTTAAAATCCACGAAAACCTCGGGAATTTCTCCCGTTTCACAACAGACACGACGGCACCGAACGCTCCGAGAGGGGCGGGAAAACAGCGGGAAAAACGACGGAAAAACGGGAAAAACGACGGAAAAACAACGGAAAAACAACAGGAAAACAGCGGAAAAGGGAACCACGGCCACAGGAAAACCTCGGGACAAATCCCAACCCCATTCCCGAGGGAAATCCGGGAGAAATTCCTACAAATCCACGCGGGAGCACGGCAAAAACGCTGGGAGGCGTGGTAGGAAAAATTCCCCAAAATTCCAGGGAAGTCCTGCTTTTTTTCTGGGAATTCCCACCAAAAAATCCAAGGGAATTCCCTTTTTTCCCTAGGAATTCCCAAAAAATCCAACAAAATTTCCTTTTATTCCTGCAATTCCCAAAAAACCCAAGGAAATTCCCTTTTTTTCCTGGAATTTGCAAAAAATCCAGTGAATTTCCTCTTATTTCAGGAATTCCGAAAAAAAAAACCAGATGGAATTCCTGCTTTTTTCTAGGAATTCCCCCAAAAATTTCAATAGAATTTCTACTTTTTCTTGGGAATTCCAAAAAATCCGATGGAATTCCCAGTTATTCCTTGGAATTCCCAAAAAATTAAAGGAAATTTAAAAAAAAAATCCAAGGAAATTCCCTTTTTTTCCCAGGAATTCCCAAAAAAATGTCCACAAATTTCCCTCTTTTTCCTGAGAATTCCCAAAAAATCCAAGGAAAATCCAAGGAAATTACCAAAACTATCAGAGGAAATTCCCTTTTCTCCCAGAAATTAAAAAAAATTAAAAAATAAACAAAAAACAAAACAAACAAACAAAACCAAAACCTCCAAAAAAATTCCCGGAATTCCTGGAATTTGGGGCATCAGAATTCCAGAATTTTGAGAATTTCTGGGATTTCGGGCAGCTGAATTCCCGGAATTCTGGGAATTCCTGGAATTTGGGGCTGGGGCACATCCAGGGACACGAATCCAACACATCCGGGAACGCTCCAGGTCCTTTTCCTGCCAGGAATTCACTCCTGGAACATTCCAGAACTTTCCAGGATTTTGCTCTCCCGGAACATTCCAGAACTTTTTGACATTCCGGAAATTTTCACTCCCGGAACGTTCCAGAACTTTTTAATTCCTGGAACATTCCAGAACTTTTCTCTCTTGGAACATTCCAGAACTTCCCTGGAACATTCTAGAACTTTTCACTCCAGGATAATTCCATTATTTTCCTGGAAAATTCCAGAATTTTTCTCTCCGGGAACATTCCAGAATTTTTTTCTCCAGGAACATTCCGGAACTTTTTGACATTCCAGACCTTTTCACTCCTGGAACACTCTGGAATTTCCCTCTGGGTGCTGCTCCGGGAATTCCTCAGAATTTGAGGAATTTTCCTCGGGATTTGGGGAATTTTCCTCGGGATTTTGGGAATTTTCCTCCTTTTCCATCCCTGCTCCCCTTTCCTGGCCTTCGGCCGCCGCCGCTCCCTCGGGATTTTCCAGATTTTCCTCGGAATTTTCCTCAGGATTTTCTGGATTTTCCTCAGGATCTGCTGAATTTCTGGGATTTTCCTCAGGATTTTCAGGATTTTCCTCGAGATTTTGGGGATTTTCAGTGGGATTTTCAGGATTTTCCGTGGGATTTTGGAGATTTTCTGTGGGATTTTCCAGATTTTCGGGGTTTTCTGTGGGATTTTCAGGATGTTCCTCTGGATTTGGAGGATTTTCCGTGGGATTTTCCAAATTTTGGGGATTTTCCGTGTTTTCTGTGAGATTTTCTGGATTTCCTGCTGGATTTTGGGAATTTCCTGTGGGATTTTCCAGGTGTTCTGTGAGATTTTCAGGATTTTGTGGATTTTCCGTAGGATTTTCCGGGTTTTCTGTGGGATTTTGGGGATTTTCCGTGGGATTTTCCGGGTTTTCCTCCCCTGCTCCTTCCCCTTCCTCGTGCTCCTCCTTTTCCTCGGGATCATCCGTGAAGGGATTTTCCCCCTGGAAAAGAGAGAAAAAAATTCCCCAAAGCCCCAAAAATTTCCCAAAAAAATTCCACAAAACCTCCCAAAAATTCCCCCCAAAAAATTCCACAAAACCTCCCAAAAATTCCCAAAAAACCCCCTCAAAATTCCCAAAAACCCCCCAGAAAATTCCCCAAAAATTCCCAATCCCCACCAAAAACCTCCTAAAATTCCCAAAAAAAAGTGCAAAACCCCCAAAATTCCAAAAAACTTCCCAAAAACCCCCTCAAAATTCCAAAATATTCCCAAAAGCCCCCCGAAAATTCCCAAAACCCCCTCAACACTTCTGAAAATTCCCAAAAAATTCTCCAAAACCCCCAAAAATCTCCCCAGATCCCCCAAAATTCCCCAAAATCCTCTGGAAACATCTGAAAATTCCCCAAGACCCCCCCAAACTTCTCAGAAATCCTTCCAAAACCCCCAAAAATTCAACAAAAACCAAAAAAATTCCCCAGAATTCCCCCCAAAACCCTGAAAATTCCCAAATTTTCCCAAAAAGCTCCAAAAATTCCCCAAAACTTCCTGAAAACCCCTGAAGATTCCAAAACATTCCCAAAAAACCTCCAAAATCCCCTGAAAAACCCCCAAACACCTCAAAATTCCCAAAAAATTCCCCAAAACCCCCACAAATCCCTCCAAAACTTCCCCCGAACCCCTGAAAATTGCCAAAGATTCCCAAACATTCCCAAAAATTCCTGGAATTCCCAAAATCGCCCCCAAAACCTCCAAAAATTCCCATAGAACCCCGCAAAGTCCCCCCAAAATTCCCTAAAAGCCCCGAAAATTCCCCAAAAATCCCTCCAAAACTTCCCCCAAACCCCTGAAAATTGCCAAAGATTCCCCAAAATTCCCGGAATTCCCAAAAAATTCCCAAAACCGCCCCCAAAACGTCCAAAAATTCCCATAAAACCCTGCAAAATCCTCCAAAAATTCCCAAAAAGCCCCGAAAATTCCCCAAAAATCCCTCCAAACCTTCCCCAAACCCCTGAAAATTGCCAAAGATTCCCAAAAATTCCCGGAATTCCCAAAAAATTCCCAAAACCGTCCCCAAACCCTCCAAAAACTCCCATAAAACCCTGCAAAATCCTCCAAAAGCCCCGAAAATTCCCCAAAAAAATCCCTCCAAACCTTTCCCAAACCCCTGGAAATTTCCAGGCAATCCCGGAATTCCCGGGATTCCCGGGATTCCGGGATGCGCACCCGCAGGAAGCGCTGCAGTTTGCTGCCGATGGTTTTGTTGTTGAGGATGCTCCGAGCCACCGCCAGCGACGCCCGCTTGGAATGTTCCAGCATGGCCTGGGAAACACGGAATCCTGGGAATGCCGGGAATTCTCCGGGAAAAACTCCTCGGGATTCCCGGGATTCTCCTGGGAATTCTCCGGGAAAAACTCCTCGGGATTGCCGGGATTCTCCTGGGAATTCTCCTGGGAAAACTCCTCAGGATTCCCGGGATTTTCCTGGGAATTCTCCTGGGAAATCTCCTCAGGATTCCGGCATTTTCCTGGGAATTCTCCGGGGAAAACTCCTCAGGATTCCAGCATTTTCCTGGGAATTCTCCTGGGAAAATTCCTCCGGATTGCTGGGATTTTCCTGGGAATTCTCAGGGGAAAACTCCTCAGGATTCCCGGGATTTTCCTGGGAAAACTGCTCAGAACTCCAGGAATTCTCCTCAGAATTCTCCTGGGAAAACTCCTCAGAATTCCTGGGATTTGGGGCAGATCCCACCAGAATTCCCAGGATTTGGGTGGGATCCCAGGGGAATTCCCGGATTCGGGTCGGATCCCAGGGGAATTCCCGGGATGTGGGTGGTATCCCAGGGGAATTCTGGGATTTGGGTCGGATCCCAGGGGAATTCCGGTATTTGGGTCGGATCCCAGGGGAATTCCGGTATTTGGGTGGTATCCCAGGGGAATTCCGGGATGTGGGTGGGACCCCAGGGGAATTCTGGGATGTGGGTCGGATC